AGTAATAGCGAGAATAAACTAGTATTAATTAATGCAAATGACATTGCACTGTATAAATTTATTAGACTAACATAAATATCTTAATTAAGCCGGTAGAATTTTGTTATGCGCTAAAAGGATGCAAAGTTTAATGGTTGATGCTCATGTTCCGTTCTATTTACACTCTTCAATCTTGGAAAACCGTTTAACGACAGATTTTTACTTTTTCGTATCGTTTCTAGTTTATTCAAGACTAATTAGTAAAATACTTTGTACTTACTATGATAAGAATGTTATTGAGTATCTAGCTGCTTAGCTTTAAGTCAGTTTAATACAATTAACAATAATTTCAAAACCTTTTTAAACAATATTCATATCGCAACATCTTTCTTCGACATTTTTCATCGCATCTTTCCCTCGACGGAAACGGAAAAACATTGTTCGAACCTGAAATTTAAAATCTGGAGATCCTTTTTAAAGGAATATTCGTTGAAATTTACGTTAAAGAATCAAATCGTTCGATCGTATCTTTCCAATGCAATTCAAACGATCGTTTCACGTAACTGCAACTAAAAAATCAAATTATTTAAATATACGTCACTTCGATTATCCGAAATATTGCTAACCGTTCGATTGTTATCAACAGAGCCCACGGTTACCACGAATCTCTTTTCGAACGATCGATCGATCCGTTCCGACATTCTTCCCCTAATTAACCCAACTTCGACCAATTTATATTTCGTCAACGACGACAAACGTGCTGAACGATCATTAATACGTCATCGTCGATACGAATGCATTACTCGACGCGAATTACATCGACGCGGTTAGATAACGAAACGAAATCACACAACGGTATGTACGAACTGTACGTGCCGAAACAGATGATACCATGTGAATAAATTTCTCGCCTAGCGGTTTCCCCTCCGTGAAAAACCGTTTCAGAATCGTTTTTACGCGATCGTGACGCGACTGACGCGACGATTAAACACCAGGAAGCGTTCTTATCTATAATTTCTACATCCTTACGAGAGAGAGAAAAAAAAGAGTAGAAGAAGAAAAAAAAGAGGACCGAACGGAGAGATTCAGACCGTGCAATCACTTCCAGCCCCATCGTATCTGGTACGCACACGGTGTGTGTCTGAATCACTGAGGTCACTCGGAGCACGCATGCTTAACGGTATGATTCAACGTTTCACGATGCGTAACTCGATTTAATTATTTACTGGATAGGCGAGATCGGTTTTGGAAGAGAAATCGTCGCGTTTTTCTTTCTTTATAAGAAGTTAAGCGATGTACGCTGCTCGCCGGAAAAATTGCAACACCTCAACCCTTTGGCAGTTTATCACGTGTGAGACTCGGACAGAGCGTCAAATATCTTTCAGTGTTTGAAGTTAGAAAGGGAGGAGATATTAAACTATTTTATTTTACCTTTTTTTTAATACTACTTTAGCTATTTTATTTTATTATTTTTAAACTATTCGTAACTATTGAAAAGACACGTGTGAAATATAAATTTCTTTGACCGTAATTCGTAATTTTATCAGACTGTCAAAGGGTTAAAAATGAAATTGCACGAATCTAAAATTGAGATATATTGTTTGGAGTATTGAGTGGGAGAAATGATTGAAATTTGGTTAAAACAGGTCATTTTTTCCTGGGAATAGCATGAAAGACATATGTGATTTCCAGACTTGTGCAACCCTAATTTCTAAGTGTTGCAACTTTTTTTTCTTTTTTATGGACAGTGTGTATATAGGACGATAGAATTGTCATTATTTCTCGATGTCTTTCTATAAAAATCGATATTTGTAAAAATTTGTTTTGTAATTATTACATTAATTACGTGTACCTCAAGACTGTTTTTTAAGCTTAAGCCCATATTTCCAACTTGTATAAGTTTTTCACACTTCTTTGTCAGTATTTACTGTTATGCAATATTATTCTACATAACTGTATTTCACTTTTCTCTCAGAAATACATAAAAGTGCACAAGTATTGTATAATACCTACACTACCGACCAAAGTTTCGAATCACCTCCCACTTTTCATCAATATTAAATCTGCTGCTAATTTTTTACAGATTTGAAGTTTATCTCAGTTCTACTTTTATCAATTTATCTCATACCAATTGATTCGTACGATAAAAAATTCTCAAAATTCGCTGACTTTTTTCTGGAAATTTTTGTGTAAATTGCAATGCTCTCCAAACTTTTGGCCGGTAGTGTGTATCAAAGTAGCACTATTAATAAGCTGTGAATAAGTAGCAGTTTCGGTGAATCGGTAATAAAATTTCATTTAAACTTTCCCGGTTTAATCGAACTTACTTTGAATGAACCCCAATTATATTCATTCCGAAGGATAATTCACAGTCTTGGAATTATCATTTCTGCAAATAACTCACTATCACCGACGATTATTTCGTAGTCAGTGAACAAAGTTTCCCTTTTCGACGATTATATTGTTCCATGACTGCTCTGACGATATCATCATTATTTTATCATTAACACGCCCGCTGACGATATAGTCTGCACGGACGCCCCTTTGTAATTGTGGACAATTACGTAGCAGGTTTAACAATAAACACAACTAAAATTTAACTTCCATATTTTTTGTACTAATTCATTGCTATTTTTATATTTCACCATTCCGACGTATCCATCGTAAACCTATCTTAGTTTCTTTTTCACCACTAAAATTGATGGTAAATTTGATGTAAAAAGTTCATTAGGATAAATAGAGTAAATTTGGCAATTAGGTAAATATTTAGTTGTTCTAATTATTAATGAATATTTTTGAAATTTCTGTTCGAAGATACTTCGAGAAATATAGCACGTTCCGTTCAGAATTGTGGAATTGCATCAAGAATCTCCTCACAAACAGTTACGGCGTTTATATTGATGAATGAAGGTACTATTCGTCTACGATGTTACTTTTACCCCAGATTAGGATAATTAACTCGAAGATTCTCGATTTTTCTCGTGTTCGTTAGATGTATCCTAAATTCAATCAACAGAATATTTTACTAAATCACATCTCAATTAACCTTCACTCTGTAAACAGACTATTTTTGGTACTTTCAAATCTTAAACATGAGTCATTTATGTCCGACGCGTTCTTTAACAGATAAAAGCCTTAAAAAAATTCCTATAACATCTTTAAACACTCCAAATAAGATTCCACTACCAAAGAACATTTTTTTTAGAAAGGGGAACGAAAGTCCGTTACTTATTCATTTCCGAGATGTGAATACCTTTGGATCTAGCCCGGGCAAAATTGACTCACGTGAATGAAGAGTTAAGAAGCTTTCTGAACTAAATAGAGAAGAATTTCTCGTTGAAGAAATTTCATCTTAAATCTTTCAATCAACCAAACTGTCTTATCGAGAGGTCGAGTTGATTCTTTTCAAGTACAAACCCCTTTGAACGCAATTCGCAGCAAACTAACATTTCTAAACGCTTCCTTATTCTCTTCACAAATTACTTCCACGATGCTCCGGCATCTGTGTGCAGCGAAATTAACATGTTTCGTGCATCGTTTTATTGCGCGTCAGTCTATCTATCACGCAAGGCCGTTATCGAGACGCGTTTCGAAAAATCTATCACACGCGATTATTGAGGCGAATTAGAGAGGCGACACGGGCCGACACGATACGACACGACGCGACGCAACGTTACAATAACAGGGATTGAACGTCGCGTCTCGTTCATTGACTAACGACACAATCAAAATAACGTTACGTGGGTCGCCGCTTTATCGCTAGTCATCGCGGATCACTATAAATAGGCCGATCCAGATGTAAGACGATGCAAAGTGCGTTCCATCGCTTTCTTCAACCCCTTTTGCACAGTTAACCCTTTGTACGTAACGCCGTGTGACTGGGTATATCGGGTCGGATAATGTGAAGAAATGTCCAAGTTCTGAATCGTTCGCTAGTTCATCGCTATACCGGCGGGTGATCAAATTATCAGTATCCGGTACGATTGAGAATTTTCAAGACAGAGAATGGTTCGGACGCGTGTCTACCGATGATGAGCGAAGTGAGAGACGAGGCAATCGTTATTTCGT